CAGCCGTGGGGGTGCGTGTGTGCGCACAAGCCGCTCGGCTGCACAAAGGGGACCCCTGGTGGTGTGTCCCCCTCACTGCCTTGTCGCCCGCTGTCCCCGGGGGGGTGGCGGCGGGGAGCGGGCAGGGTACCTGGTGCTGCCCGGGCAGGGTGAAGAGCACCCCGAGGATCTCCCCTCCCGCCTGGCGGGGAAAGGGAGGAGTGGAGACTCCCTAGCAATTCACACTGGCCTGTGCTGTGTGATTTATTTTAAAAATATATTTGATTGGGTTCTGGACATTTTAAGCCCCGTGCTGGGAGCAGGGAAGATCTGTGAGTTCTGTTTGATGCCGTGATGAGAATCCTTGAATTCCTGAAGAGTATCCCTGCATCCATGACCAGCATCCCTGGAGAGCATCCCTGGCACGGTTAGTCTGAGACCTGGCCAGCTCAGCTCACCCCACAGTCGCACTTATACCTCTTCCAGCTCCCAGAGGATGAGGTTGCGCTGGGCCAGGATCTTGGCCGCCCTCTTGCTGAGCAGCTTCTCCTGCACCAGAGGCTGCAGGATAGTGTAGCTCTGCAGGTTGCAGTGGGTGAACATCATCCCCGCATCAGCGCAGGTGGGGAGTCCCAGGGCTCCCCAAAGCTCCTGCAAAGCCTTGGCTGTGGCCAGCGCGCTGCCCTCGTTGAGCTGCTGTTTCAGGTGTTTTCTCAGCAGGCTCTTCAGCTTGTAGGAAGGGGCCTTGGGCATCTTTTCTTTGATCAAGGACAACATATCCACATAACCACCCACAATGCGGCAGAAGTCCACTTTTCTACCCGTAGCATCCAGGGCCTTAAAGAGAGTGGGCAGTTCCGGTGCCCAGAAGTTGTAGACGATGAGGTTGGGCCTGGGGAGCGGGGAGAGGTACCAGAGGAGGTGCTGCATCCCCACCTCCATGGAGACACCCTGGGAGAGCAGTGCCAGCACCGACTCGGGTGTCTGAATCAGCGTCTTGAAGGTGTGCTCTCCATTGGCTGCCGCCATCTCTGTGATACGCTGGGCTGTGGAGGGGAAAGGATGGGGCTGGAGTAAGTATTTGGGGGTGCCCTTCTCTAGCCCCCAGCCCCCTGTGCCTGGGGAAGGCAATGCTCACTTTTCTGGTCAACCTTCAAGCTGAGGAACACCAAGGTGCTCAGCTCCGACCCATCATCCCAGGGGCTGGCGGGGCCAGTGCTGTGGTGGGGTGAGGTGCCGCTCCCGGACCACGTAGGGCTGGAGGGCTTCTTGACATCCTTGGGCTTGCTGGGAGCCTGCAAGAGATTGGAGAAGGGGGCCAAGTCCTGTCTGCCTGCTTGGACCAGGTTGGGAAGGTGTAAAGAGCACCCTTGGGTGTGTTATTGGCCACAGACAAGGACCTGGTTGTGTGCAATGCTATGAAACCCACAGGGTCTGATGTCCCAGCACTGCCAGGGATGAGTTGGGTATATGCTGTGTCTCAGGAGTGGGCTGGCCATGGGGAGCCCCGCTGAGAGCCCAAAACCATGTCTGAGACAAGTGAGCAAGAGCAAAGCCCTGAATGCCACTCATCATAAGCAGGGGGCAGGTGGGGGGAGGATCCAGGCAGCGACCAGAGACACAACACACAGGTCTGGGGACTCACTGTTCTTTTCTGCACACCTCATGTGGATGCAGCTCATGCAGGGCCATAAATGTGACTGACCAACCTCACCCCACGAGATACTGTTAGAATTAAAGATCTGATTGGTGTCTAGAGGAAAAGGGGACTGAATCGGGCCAGGAGGAGGTTTGATGCCTCTCCAGGCTCAGCAGGTCCAGTGCCTACAGTAGTGCTTCCCACGGGTGAGTTAAAGCAGCCACAGCAACTGCCCCCCGCGCAGCCTCTGCAGGGATGGACATCCACAGCAAATAGCTCCCTATGGGAAGAGTAGGACAAAAATACATTCAAGAGTCTCTAAGCTTGGTTTTTCCTCCCTCTTTCCCTCAGGGACAATCCTGCACCCCTGGCCTGGTCACACTGCAGTGGTGGGGCGTCCATCTCCCTCCACACCTGCTCTCTGCATCTTCACCCGCAGCCCAGGAGTGGTGGAAATGTGGATGGACCAATGTCTGCAGGCATGTGAGTAAAACCAAGTGCTCCCCAGCTCAGGAGATGTGGGATTGCTTAAATGCCACGTTAAAATTAGGTGTTTGAAGGGCACATGGGGTCCCTCTGTCTGGGAAGGGACAGAAGGACGGTACTGGTGGTGGGGTGGTGGCAGTGCCCCATGTCCCCCTCACCTGGCTGTGCTTGGAATGACACAGCTGCCCTGAAGGGAGTTAGATGAACCAAACTTGGCAACAAAATGTGATTGCAGATGCTCTTGTTACCCAAACCAGCAACATGAAAACTGAATTTCTATGCAAGAAGGTTTTATTGAAGAGTTAAGCAAAGAGGAAGGAAAATCACCCACTCAGAGACACACGCTCGTAGCACCACAGTGGCCGTGGGTGATGGGTCCGGGCAGAGGTGGGCACTGGCGTGCTCTTGCGGCTTCGGCTTGGTTCGCAGAGCAAGACAGTCCCCAGGTGAGCCCACAAAAGTTCCTCCCCAGCCCCAAAATCTCCTTTTAGATGTCCAAGCCTCTAGGTAGGTCCTCAGCACTTGCCCTCCACCCCCTGAAGGTTGCAGGTTCCCTGGGCTGCATTCTGCTGTCTCATCCCATTGCTCCCTGTTTTCTCACTCAGCTGCTACTCCCCTCCCTCTTATCCAGGCTTTAAAACGATTTTTCCCAGTTCTCAAGGTTGCACTTTTCTAGTGCCCAGCACCAGACTATCAGTGAGATGTTTATGCTCCTGGGATCTCTTTTCTTTCAGCCTGCACCTTTGCTACACCCTTAAAAGCACGTCGTGCCAAAGGACATCTGATTCATGCAGGGATTTCTCACAGCAAGCAGCTAATCTCCTAAAAAGCTCCCCTCACTTTTTGGCACTAGCAGGGAGCGGGGACAGGGTTTTAGCCCCACAACTCTTTCCCCCCCCCCCCCCCCCCCC